CGGGGCCCCGGGGACGGTGCCCCCGAGACCCCCCGCCGCCGCCCGGCTTCGCTCCCGCCTCCTCATTGCGAATGAGCGGCTCGGAGCGCGTTAAGCGTTGGCCCCGGCTCTGGTTGTGCTGCCGGGCTGATAAAGCATTGCATTTGCATTGCATTGCGGTATCCGCCGGACTGGAGCTGCAGCGAGCGCCGGATTATTTATTGCGGGGCGGCGGGTGCTCAGTGCTGCCACGGCGTGGCGGAACGGCGGAGGCGGGCGCGGAGCGGCCCCCGCAGCCCCCGGGAAGGGCAGCGCTGGGAGCCTGCGCTGCTCGGGGCAACCCCCCAGAAAAGACACCCCCACACACACCCGAAAAGGGGAAGGAAAAAAAGGCGAAGAAAATAAATCCGGCCTACCTCTTTCTACGGGAGCATCCGAGCTCGCCCCCGGGCAAGATATTCCGGCAGGACGGGCTCTGCCCCCTCCCCTTCCCCTCCGCTTGTACCTCGGTGTGTGTCAACTGTAAAATATCACAGTGGGAGCTGGCTGGGGAGGACCCGCCCGCGTCCCCCGGCCAGGCTCCCCATACCCCGCCAGTCTAAACAACGGTTCGCCTTGCCCAAACTGTTTGGATTAGGAGCTATTAGTTAAAGGCTGGTTTTGGTGACGCTGCCGAGCACGAGAAGGATTTGTAAGTGGTTTTATATAGGAGGAGAAGGAGGCTTTTAAGCTTGAGAGGGGAACTGCCCCCGCACCTGCATCCGAGGGTGGCTGGGGTTGCCGGCCGGGTGTTCGGAGGGAGGAGGAAGGCGAAGTGTTTGGTGGAGGAGGTGCTGAGGGTGCGGGGAATTCCGAAAACAAATAAAAGGCGGATGAAATACACGGGTATCGCAAAGTGTGACCTTGTTGCGGTGGCAAAATGCAGCGGCTGGCTTTCTGCTTTCCGGGGCGGGGGGGGGGGGGGGGGGGGAGGGAATGGTGAAGGGAAACTGCTGCGAAATGTGTCCGGGCAGGGCATTTCCCCGGCAGAGCTGGGGGGTAACAGATTATTGTAATTCGGGGTTTTCTGGGGGTAGGGGGAGGAGCAGAGAGGACGCCTGAATGTGACTGAAGCGGAGATTGCAGTGCAGATTGTTTAGCTGTCACTGTAACTACTCTAACACGACCCAGCCAGGCAAACGTGCATGTTTCATTCCTTTTAATAGCGTGGGATCAACGAAGAAATGTTTTCGCTGCCTGCGGTCGGGCTTTCGACAGTTCGGTTTGGACGCGAATAATAACTTGAAAAAGAGGAAAGAAACAAAAAGAAAAAGAGAGGAGAAAAGAAATCAGTCTGTAACCGATGCTATAAAATGTAAATATAACTAAGCCTGGTGCGATGTTTTTATTTTGGTCTCTGTGTGATGGATTCAAACA